TTATAGTTAATATATATATATATATATATATATAATTTTATCGTTGAGTATTACTATTATGGAAGATTTACATGCATTCCCACTAAATTTCCACTAAATTTCTATATATTTACATATCTAGCACTTAGACATTAATTTTTTACATACATATGGGTGTATCTATGCATGAAAAAATATTCCACTGGTGGTATTTTTGATGTAATATTAAATATTTGGGTGGTATAAATATAAAAGGTAAAATTTATGTGTTAGTTATGTAAATATGTAAGGATTGGATGGTATGAATGTAAATGTATCTTAATAATTGATATCTCATCAACAAATTTATTTTTTGACATGAACTTCAATGTATGACACGAATTTCGGACAGATTTTTCAGCAAAAAGTATTCAAAGTTTGATTAAAAAATCATCAAAAAAATTAATTTCAACAAACTTATAGTCAAATTGATCAACCCGAAGAAACAAACACTGATACCAAAATTGGACAAATCTTAGTAAAAAAATCTCAATCAAATCAACCCCAGATGAAGTCATTAAACAACTTTTAGAAACTTTTGGTGCACAATTTAAGGGTCAAATGGATTTCAAATCTAACAAACTTTTAGTTAAATAGAACAACTCGGCAAGATGAATCTCATTAGCAAAATATCACTCATTTTTTACTTCAATAAGACACTCAAATGTTCATCTAACGCAATTGGATCAAATGAATCTCTTTGGGTCGTCTGATGGGATGAACTTATACCTTCCGCCAAAAAAAGAATGATGCTTGGAGAAGAAGTTGAAGTCCAACATTGCTTCTACGCTAATGATTCGACAAACACCTCTTACTCCGCAGCTCTGACCATCATCAGACACCACCTATCGGGAGTAACAAAACTCTATTAGAGTCAAGACTTGCATTACATTGTGACAATGAATCATGCGAAATAACATCTGATTTCACAAAAACATGAAGCAATCTACGAAGTAGTGCATCATCTCGAATGTTGTGTCAACTTAAAGATATTGTATTGAAGCTCCAACAATTACTCACCTCAACGATCACTCTCTATCGTGGGGCAACAAGATCTTCTACACACAAGTATTGTCGTGTAACCAACCTTTCCCGTTTATGGGAACATGGGTTTTATATGTAATCTCCAATTCATAGTGGAACATTTCAACTGGGTTAGGCCAAGAACGCCAAAATATTCGTGATTACACGAATCTTATTTTATTCAAGCTTTGTGAATTTTTCATATTCTTATTATTATAAATTACTTTCAGATCCAATTTCAAACAAGCATGATATAGACCAACATCTTATTTCTAAGAATCGCTCTTGAAAACATCACAATACATAATGTTTCTTAAGATATAGTCCATGACCAAAAGCATATGTTGAGCTCCTTGATAATCGACAATTTGATAGGATTCTCTAGAGTAGATTTTCTCCACAAATAAAGAGCTTTCCCAAATCAGTTTGAATTTTCCTCTCATCTTGTCATCAACAAGAATAGTTCTTTGCAGCACAAGTACTAAGTCACCCAAATCTGAAAGTTCTAAAATGAACTAGTTTGTTGTGCACTTGTATCATCTTGCCTTGATATAACTCCATGCTTGGTTGAAACCTCTAGTGCTTGCCTTCTAAATTCTCTAGTTCTTCAAGACGGAACTTCATATTTTCTTCAGTTGTACTTTTGTTGGCCCTCGCAATTCTGAGCAATGAAAGTTGTACCATTAGCAGAAGTACAGCCTCAGACCCATACACGAGAGCATAAAGAGTAGACGGTGTTAGAGTTTTGTGTTATTCTGTAGGCCCACAAAATTTATTTCAGTTGTTTGTGCCACTATTATTTGCTATCAGCTAGCGTCTTATTTAGAATTTGAACTAGCATTTTGTTGAAAGCTTCTGCTATACCATTTGCTTTAGGATAATAGTGTTGGTCGCATTTCTCGTAGCTGTTGTCGGTCTTCGTTTATGTCAATTGGATTTGATGTCATTATCGTTGTTGTGGAGTCGCTAGTTTTTTTTCTGTTACATTGCCCGCTTCTCCAAATAATCCTTCATCTCAAATCATATGGATGAATTAAGAGATGTGAAATCAGAGGATTAGGGCAGGTAATAACATGGACAAACAAAAGAAGTGCGTATGAAGCATTCATGAAAGTGAATACTCACAATGAAAGCTTTAAAGCATATGTATGGAATGCTTTAAAGACACAATTACGAAGTAGATCTTACGAAAGCTGATAACTAGAGAGTTCGGGTTGATATATTCATTATAGAGTCTATATCTTTCAATAAGGGCAAACTCTTATAGTTAATTACATCTTAAGTAGTCAATACTACTTAAGCAAACCCGCAATTAAGGTTAAAATTTGTTCTCAGAAAAATCAAAGGTAGTTGTGAAGGAAGAGAACATCAAAGTTCTATCCTAAAAATAACAAATTCATAAGAATTGTGAACTATTCTAAAACTTTATTGTGTTGTTGAAGGTTTTGTTGAGGTTCATCCTTGTACTTTTGTTCATCCCTACAAAATAGAGTGAGCGTGCCATAATAACATGTAAAGTAAATCTATGGTGACGTCCACCTTTTGCCTTTATTGGCCTTGTAAGATAGAGTTAGTATGAAGCATTTTATTTTGGTTCATTAATTTTAGTTTATTATTAGAAGAATCTGTCAAGATGTCTATGACTCCGTCGTCCTGGGATCATTGGGGTACCATGGTTTTCTTAGTTTGAGAGGTGGTTAAATTTATTATGACAAGAACATTCTTGCCAGCAACCACAGATTATTCGTCCAAGAGATTTCGTAAACCCGGATAAGCTGGGTTAAAGTTGCGTTCGGTGATCTTTGTTCATTAATGTTTCATTTAAATTTTAAGTCTTTTTTGGATTTTAGGGGTTGAAAATTTTAGGTTGCTTAAGACTTCTTAGTGGATTAAATTTTTTTGTTATTTTTGTCATATATTTTGTTTGGGATCACCGGGTCAAGAAACCATGGTTTCGTCATCACGGGGTCATTGGGGTTTGCGCTTTGATTTGTCACGAGTGACTGGAAGGTAGTTTGTTAACAGCCATGGGTTGCCTCCTCCAAAATACATTCTCAAACCTAGTTTCATTTTGTGGCACAAGTTTAAGTGTCAATCTCTTTTAGGATAAATTATTTAAATTGGTTTGGTACTTTAGCCCAAATTGTTCCCAACTGAGACTAAGGCTGCTTCGATTTTTGAACGAAAACCCTTATTAGCCTTCAATCACTTATGTTTAGATTAGTTTTAAATTAGGTTAAACGATTATAATATGAAACTCCAAATAATCCGATTCAACCTAAGTTAGGCTGGTTTTCCCTCAGATTTGCTTCAAACTCGTTTAAGTCGACTCAAGTTTAATAGGATTGACCAAGGTTGACCTAGTTGGATCCGAATCAATTTAGCTGTACTTAACTTAAATTGACTTATATTAAGTTAAGTTAAACCAAGCTAGATTAGCTTAGAATCGAACTAGGTTAAACTGGACAGATCCAAGTTAAATATCCTAGGTTAAATCAAGTTAAATTAGACTCAGATATAATCCAAATTAATTTGAACTTTTAAATCTAAGTTAGGTTAGATTTATATCAATCCTAGTTAAACTGAGGTTGAGACTCAATTCAAATTTGGAATTGAGTTTCAAGTTGGGTTGATCGAAGTTTAAGCTTGATTACGAGATGGTTTAGTTGGATTAGGTTAGCTCGAGTTAGGTTTGGTTGACCCATAGTCCAGTTGAATTGAGTTAATGCAAGTTGGGTCGGGTCGACCTGATGATTTAGTTAAATTAGGTTAACCCGAGTTAAGCAGGGTTGAACCGGTGATTGGGTTAATACGAGTTAGGTATGGTTGACCCGATGATTTAGTTACATTGAGTTAATCTGAATTAGGTGGGGTCGACCCTGTGATTTAGTTGAATTGGGTTAAACTGAGTTAGGTCGGGTTGACCTGGTGATTTAGTTGAATTGGGTTAATCCGAGTTAGGACAGGTTGACCCGATACTTTAGTTGAATTGAGTTTTTTCGGAGTTATTTCACCTCTGAGGTTATTTAGAGATTATTCCACTTCAGTAACCTCGAAATAACACAATGGAGATTATTTCGGGATTATTTCAGGGTTATTGAAAGCCGCAATTTCACTCCAATAACCTTCACGATTTCAGTGACCCAATTTAACACACATGACAGTATATTACCGAAATAATTAGATAGAGCTACAAAGTCTGTAAAAAAAAAAATGTGACCCAATTTAACACACATGACAGTATATTACCGGAATAATTAGATAGAGCTACAAAGTCTCTAAAAAAAAAAAAAAAAAAAATACCAAATAGTGCTCCTTACTACTAAAATTCCATCGTTACATAAAAAATACTTCGATAGTTAAGAATTTGACTCGTTATAGTTCAGTGTTTCACAAAATCCTATTAAATGCACGCCAGTAAACATCCCATGAGATCAAAACAGCTTGGCATCCACAGGAGCTTGAAGGAGAAAATAATCTACGGCCGCCACCTCAATGAGTTTTCGGGCACTGTAATATCTGCACAGCAGCAATGGAGTTCATGGCGCAAGCCGCACTCGTCCACCTCTCCGCAGAGATGCCACTCCTTTCAGCCCCTTGCTTCCTCCGCTCCTCCATGTTTTCTAATATTTCAACTTTCAGTAAACCCAGAAATTCCACATCATACTCCTCCGGCTCTGGCGCTGGCGCCACCTGCCGCGTGAGTAGATGGGCCGAACGCCTTCTGGGAGACTTTCAATTTAACCCTAACCCCGCCGAGTCGACCTCACCTTCGTCTTCTTCGGCTGTAGCCGACCCTCCTGGCCTCTCCCACTTGCCCACCGCTGCCGACCACACTATCCCCCTTCCGATCGATTTCTACCAGGTCTAACTCCTGAAATCCTATGGTCATAATCATGTCTTAAACATTTAAATTGTTTTCTCTTCACTTCTTCACGTTTTCCCGTCTATATACGGGCGGGATAACTGCATTTCTTCTTCTGTTCGAGTTTGGCGTAGCCATTTTTTAAGATAAGGTGAGCGGATACATTATGTAAATCCTCGCGTAATGGTGTTGTTTTCTTTAGGTTCTTGGCGCGGAGACGCATTTCTTGGCTGATGGAATCCGAAGGGCATATGAAGCTAGGGTTTCAAAGCCTTCCCAGTATGGATTTAGCCAAGAGGCCCTTATTGGTCGGCGGCAGATACTCCAGGCTGCATGTGATACTCTTTCAAACCCCAGTTCCAGGAGCGACTATAACCGGGGCCTCACAGGGGATCTCGGTTCCACTCTTACCATTCACGTCCCCTTGGATAAGGTATTCTCTACCTCAATGCTGATCTACCACGTTTTGCATTTTTACTGATTTTCACGGTGCAGGGTTTAGCCTCACAGGGAGTTTTGATTGGTTATAATTCAGCCATGGATTCATAATTTGCACTCGTTTTAGGGCGAACAAGGAAATTAGACTATTTTTTTTAATCCCTTCATTGTTTGTAATGAAGCTTATTGTTGTTTTTCTATAGGAAAATGCATGATTTTTGTAATTAGTTAGCTTTTTATTTTGAAGACTTTTACATATTTATTTAGTTTCCTATTGTTGTTTTCTACTTACATTTGATTGCGAAATCTCCATTTTATATATATTCAGAATATCTTAAAGAAAGAATGATGTGATACAATAATCTCCCCCCTTCTCCTAGAGTCCCTTCCCAGTTCTCATTTCCCTATTCTTTTTTTTTTCTTTTCTTCCGTGTTGTGTATCAACTAGTATTATAGTGTTTTGTCTGCTTGACCCTCTTGGTTTTGCTTGTTTTATATTGATAATCACACATTATTCCCTCAGTTCCACTTACAACCACAAGCACAATCCAAATTATGATCTCTGATTGCCACTATCCATTATGCTTCTACTTACTTGTGCGTCAACTGTTACAAGTGCCCTGCATGCTTGTGTTTATCATATCCTCTTCACAATATCTTGCATTTATAATTGGCTCTCCATGTGATATGCTACAACACTTGCTCACTTCAACCCATCGCATTCAGCTTGCAATAATCATGTTCGATTGTTGTTTCTTACACTTGTTCCTAATTTAGGGCTGTCAAAAAGGCTCGTTGTTCGTGAACAGCTCGTGTTCGGCTCGTTAAGAAGCTCGTGTTCGGCTCGTTCGCTAAGTTAACGAACCGAACACGAACTCGTTTTGGCTCGAAATATTACTAATCATTAATATATATATATATATATCTTTGATGAGTAAAATTTTTAAGAAACACACATATATATATACACACACATATATGTCTATATATACACACATATATGTGTATATATGTGTGTATATATACACACATATGTGTGTATATATACACACATATGTGTGTATATATACACACATATAAAAATATAATAAAAATTATTAAATTAGATTCAAATAATGTTTTAAATTTTGCCTCAATTCTTAACATCTTATGATTAAGTGATTAGGGTTGTCAAAACGACTCTTTGTTCATGAACTGCTCGTGTTCGGCTCGACAAAAAAAAGA